TTGCTTCCCATGGCCAAGCAGAAACACGTTGAATTGCGCCAGATGATCGAGGTCGAACACCTCCGCCGACTGGGCGACCCGTTGCGGTTTCGGCAGATGGTCTTCAACCTCGCGTCCAACGCTCTCAAGTTCACGCCCGAGGGCGGCACCATCACCATCTCCGTGTCCTCCAGTGCTGCGCCGCGCCAAGCCACCAAAAACAACTGCGGTGCCCTACAATCAGAACCTGCGTGCTGCACCGGTGGCAAGGAAGAGGATGATGATGAGGAGGAGAAGAGCGGGCACGACCCCACCACAGAGCGGGCCGACTGCTCCGGCAAACACTGCGCTTCGTCCGACGAGATCACGGTGGAGGTGACCGACACGGGCATCGGCATTCCTGAAGATCATCTTCCACTGCTGTTCAAGGTAACTACACGACCGCCATGTGGTGTGATAGTGAAAACTAACGCGGCCATGTGGTCGTGTAGAGCTTCACGCAGGCAGACGCGTCGACGACGCGCATGTTCGGCGGGTCCGGGTTGGGCCTGGCCATCTGCAAGCGACTATCGCGCCTCATGGGCGGCAAGATCGGGGTGCGATCGAAGCGCAACGAGGGCTCCACCTTCTGGTTCTCCCTCCCCTTGCCCCACGCCAGCGGTACTCCTCCCAAGTGCGTTCTCCACTGAGCTCGCTGAGTGCTAACACGACGACGGCGAGGACAACAGAAACGGACGAGCTGCCGACAGAAGCGACGCAGTCGACGACGCCACTGACCTCCTCGGGCGAGGCCCGGGCGAGGAGCGCCGACGCTCTGCTGGGGGTGAAGGCGCTGTTGGTGGAGGACAACCCGTTCAACCAGAAGATCGGGGTCAAGATGCTCTCGCGCGCCGGGAGCAGTGTCACGGTGGCCTGCAACGGCGAGCAATGCCTCCGCGTGCTCGACGAGCAGGGTCCATTCGACGTCGTGCTCATGGATTGCCACGTATGTTACAGACACACGCACGCACAGACACACGCACAGACACACGCACGCACACACTCACCTACGAGTAGATGCCGATCATGGACGGGTTGGAGGCGACTCGCCGGATCAGGGAGAAGGAGAAGCTCGACCACAAGCAACACCGAATCCCCATCATCGCTCTCACGGCCTCCACGACACCCGACGACAAGGCCCAGTGCACCCAGGCGGGCATGGACGGCTGGTGTGTGCTCTCACTCACACCCCACACTCACTCACACCCTCCCAGACTTACATCTGAACCTCGACGGATGTGTGTTTCTCCCCTGTAGGTTGGGCAAGCCGTTCGATCGGGCGCTCCTGTGCGCCACCATTCGGCGATACGTGCCGCTTCCACCAGCCCCAGCACCCGCCGCCTCCCCGCCAGCAGGCTAGTGTCTGTACTACCATAGCAGGCTGCGCCATCTCCCCCGCCAGCAGGCTCGTGTCTGAAGCTGCTTGAATATTTTTTATCGCAAGGACTTTACTCGCCGTTTATTGCGCCCTCCAATACAACTTCAAGCGGTTGGATGAAATAAATAATAAAATAACAACACCACGCGGAGAAGGTGGACCTCAAGTGATGGCGATGGTGATGATGGCTGGTCGGCAGATGAGGGATTATTATTATTATGATTAGAAGTTCTGGACGTTGACGATCTTGCCGAGCTCGACGTCGTCGCCGCCCTCGATGGAGGCCAGGGCGTCCATGTAGGTGGCGAACACCTTGCCGTCGGACACCATGCGCAGGAACCAGTCGGCCTTGGAGATGAGCGCCGACACGCCCAGGTTGACGCCCGACAGCAGCACCAGCTTGCCCTCCCTCTCGAGCTGCTCGATCACCTCGTGCAGGGAATCGAGACCGTCGATGTCGATGTAGTACAGGTAACGGAGCGAGATGACGATGCAGTCACAGCTGCGGAACATCAGCAAACGCCTGCGAAGAGGAGAGGGGTCACCGGTGTGGTGAGCAGCGCACACACGACAGTAGAGGAGGCGGGGGCGCGAGCTGGTACTTCTTGTGGGCGAAGCCGTTGATGTAGGTGAGCTGGCCGGAGATACGGTACACGGCGGCGTTCTTGCCCTTGTGCACCTCCGAGCGGGGCACGATGGGCTGGGCCTCTTGCTGCACGCGACCATAGAAACAGCGAACGAATCGATCGGTTGAGTGTCGGACAAGGCGATGCCAGAGAGGCGCAGGAACGAGAATGAGTGCGTACGTCTTCGTCGGCAGCGGCGGACTTGAGCTCCTTGAGGTGCTGCTTCTTCCGCTCGCGCTTGGACTTCTCGACTTCGCCGACCTGGATCTCCTTGTCGCTCACGAATTTCTTGCTGCCGTCGTCGTCGGTCATGACGAGCTCCGAGTGGATGCGGGAGGTCATGTCGGAGAACATGAGCAGGGCGAGCACCATGCCCACCACGATGCCGGACGTGGGCTCGATCAGCACGCAGATGGCGGCCACGAAGAAGGTGAGGAAGAAGACGGTCTTGTCCATCTTCCAGAAGCGCACGATGTGGTGGTGGTCCACCATGCGAATGGCCACGATCACGATCACGGCCGCGACGATCGGGAGCGGCAGGTACTTGAAGTAGGTGAGCAGGAAGAACGACAGCAGCAGCACGAAGATGGACTGCAGGATGCCGGCCATACGCGACGTCGCACCTGTCGTTGGTTGTGTCGACAGTCAGCAACAGTGCGCTGCGGGGTGGTGGCGACGGTGGGTGGGTGTACCGGTATTGATGTTGAGGGCGGTACGGGCCAAGGCGGCGGTGGCGGGGATGCCGCCGACGATGCCGGTGACGATGTTGGCGAGGCCGAGGCCGAACACCTCCTTGCGCTGGTTGAAGGTGGTCTTGGTCATGGTGTCGGCGATCTTGGCCGAGATGAGGGTCTCCAGCAGGGCGACGAACGAGATCGACAGCGCCGACGAGAGGAAGTCGATGGTGATGTAGCTCAGCTTGAACTCGGGCCACGAGATCAACACGAACTCGAGCTGCGTTGGGTCACCAGCCAAAGCGTAGCGCGTTAGACTCGGCCCGGGCACCATTCCATTCCAGCGCATGTCTCGGGTTTGGCGAACGTACATCACCGTAGCGGGTCTGCAGAGTCTGAAGACGGAACGGGATGTACTGCGTTGCAAAGTGGCGATGGCGAATGAGAGGTCAGCCAACGAGCGCGTGAGAAAGAATGAGAAAGAATGAAGGAAAGTATAAGAACGAAGTGAAGGTGAAGAGATGGAGTTGTACGTCGTGAGAGCACATGTAGCCGAGGACGATGCCGAGCGTGCAGAGGATGATGACCCACGGGATTTTGCGATAGGTCATCATCAGACTGTACAGGCTCGTCACCGACAAAAGGAACAGGCCTAACGACCACGGATCTGGAGGATCGCACGATAAATGCCACGGCGACATGTCAGACCACGCTGCGCACAATAAAGCGTACAAAGGGGCCGGCCGGCCAGCCAAGGATGAATGAGTGCGTGTACCTGTGTCGGTTGCGTAGCGGAATGATTCCATGACGTTGTATACAAACTCTTCGTGCCGTGGTATTTGTCCGAGACCGAGCGCAAAGTTGATCTGTGTGACATGCAACATCCCAGACACAGTCAGCGAACTACACCGTAGTAAATTGTGCGCGATGGTTCGTGATACACCACACACACACAGAGAGAGAGAGAGAGAGAAAAGAGGGAAGAAATGGTACGAACCTGGTTGAGGGCGATAATGAAGGCGACACCGACAGTGAAGCCCTCCATGACGGACGAAGGCACGAGCAGGACGTAGCGCTCCCACTTGAGCAGGAACACGATCAGGCAGATGATGCCGGTGAGGATGGCCAGGTAGGGCAGCGAATCGACGCCGTACATCGACACATTTCTCGCCAGGATACCGGAAAGAGCGCCTGCGCTCAGGGAAGAGAATTAATTTATGAATTACAATTTTTTTAAAAAAATAAAAAATAAAAGCAACAGACAAATACGCGATCGTACCGGTGGGACCGACGATGTTGTAGACGCAGCCACCGAAGGCGGCGGTAAAGAGACCCGACCAGATGGCCGTGGACACGCCTGTGCACAGGAAAAGATGGAGTTGGATTAAACTCCAAAATCTTGTAGCGGCAATTAATGGAGGCGACGCGAGATCATGTGCGTACCAGGGACAGGACCGCTGTCGGCGGCGACAGCAAGGGAGATGGAGAGGGGCAGATTCACAAGGCCCACGGTACCGGCGGCGCGCCAATCGGCCTTAATGCGCTTGAGTGTAAGGAGCCAGCCCTCCTTGGTCAGAAGGCTGTCCTTCATGTAGCCCAGATTGGCCTTGAGATCCTCGCCCATTTCCTGCATGTATTCACCGAGCTCGGCGGCGCAGCTCTTGTTGGCCTGCTGCTGTGCAGGGTCGAATCGCGCCGACGACGATCGCATCATGCTTCGCTCACCATCATCGTCATCGTCATCGTCGTCGTCATCGTCGTCGCTGTCCATAGGGTACCTGCTGTTGCCGCTGCCGACCCCTTCGCTCTCAGAGTTGAATCGCATGCGAAGGAGGGCCGCCTTCTCGTTCTCGTCGACGTCCTTGCGGCCGCGAGCGGGGGCGAACGAGTCATCATCATCATCGTCATCTTCCTCTACGTCGATCCGCACGGCCTCTTCAGAATCGCGCGAGCTCTCGCCTTCGGAAGAGCGGCGCGAAGTAGCCAGGCCCGAAGAGGAGGCGGGCGAGGAGGGTGTGGCGAAGGTGACGTTCTTGGTGCCGCTGCTGCTGCTGCCCTCGATGGGGAGGCCCTCGCGTCGCGCACGCCACTCCTTCTCGCGCTTGTTCAGCTTCTTCTTCTTTTTCTCCTTCTTGATGCCGAAGCCGGCCATGATGAAGCCTTCCTCATCCTTGTTCTGGCCGCGACGCGAGAGACTGTCCAACGTGCTGGCGAAGGACGTCTGCTTCAGATCGGCGAGATGAGGGATGGGTCCCTTCCTTTCGGTCATCTTGCCTTTACTTCTTGTCGGCTCAAATCGATCCTTGGCGTGTCCTTGTGCCCTCTTCTCTCACGGCAGCTGCTGTGCGTCGTCACCGGAGAAACGGAGGGGGGGGGATTAGAAGAAAAGAACGAAAGCGAAGCGAGCCCTGGACCAAAAGCGAAGCGAGTACACAAAGAGGCCAAGAAGAGGCGGTTACCGTTTGCCAAACGCGGCAAGTTGAGTATGAAGAAGGCGACGGCCGTGAAGAAGAAAAAGGAACGCCGGAGAGGAAATGAGAACACGGCACTGGTGGCACAGGGGGCGACTCCCGCTCTTTTGATTGACAATCGTTGTCGTTTGATTGCCATTCGCTGCGGCCATGCCGGAAATGACGCATGTGATAACAACAAAGAAAGGAACGACAAATCAGCTTTTCCTCTTGCCTTTCCTGCTTTCTCAATGTGGTGTGCCTTCTCTCTTGCAGTAGCTGATTTAGTGGGCGCTGGCGGGCTTGGGCCGGACCCCGATGCCGTGGAGGCCAGTGGGCAGGAACACTGTGCCACGGTACTGGCCCTCACCCCAGACGAAGCCGCCTTCGTGGACTTGCGAGTCCTCAGTGGTGAGCAGGGAGCCGTCAAGGTCACCGTGGGTGGCCAGGGGCAGCAGGTGCGCACCGGTTCCACAATTGACCCGGGAGCCGACCATGATTCCGATCCTGTGGGAGCGAGCCACAGGTGTCAGGCCATCTAGCAATGTTGATGAAGGGGAAAGGGAGTTGCTTGTACCACAACTTGAGGTTGAACTTCTGGGCCTGCAGGAGCGCCTCGAGAGCGGCTCGCACCCCGCCGGCCTTCTCCAGCTTGACATTCACTCCGTGCACAAAGTCCTGCACAATGACGGGCCAACACCGATCTTAGCGGTACAGGCGAGTGCGGCCCGAACTGTGCGTGAGCCGAGACTGTACCAGAAGAAGAGGGAGGTCCGCGGCAGTGGACATGGACTCGTCCGCGAAGATGGGAATGCCGGCGTTCTCATAGGCCGCCTTGACTACTTTCCATGCCTGGGTGCCGGCTTCGCTGGGCTCCTGGATGCGGGACCGTGTTAGTGTGTGCTAATATTGTGAAGGCACCTCAGAGAGGAGGTTCAGTCGTCACCTTGAGCAGCGTGGTGGGGAATGGCTGCTCCAGCATGTAGATGTGATCGCTCAGTGGCTTCAGAACCTTGAGCATTTCAATGCACCCCTCTGGATTCCACGCTCCATTCGCATCAATGCAAAGCTGAAAAAGCAGCACTGTCGGTGAGTCCTGGCCAGCGTTGATGTCGCACATTCACACGATCGTGTTTACCTTCCACGTGGGGTACTCGGTGAACTCCTCTTCGATGATTTTCTTGATACCGTTCAGAATCGCCTGCCCTGTAAACGTTCAAGCCAAGGACGGTAAGTTGCGTGAGCACCAGCAGTACGCGGTACGTGCAAAGAGGCTCGGTGCCTTGCTCAATGTTTGAATCCAGCTTGATCTTGAGATAAGGCGTGAAGCTCAGCGAGCTCCGGGCCTGCTGCAACATGAACTGCACGTCGGGATTGAGCGCGATGGTGTAGAAAGAGCTGCCGAGAGGCACACCCTGTTCTGTGATCTCCTTGCTGACATCGATGCCAATGAGCTGATGCAGCTGCATGCAGGAACGCACCAGGGTCAGCGAAGATGAAGGTGCCAATTCAGAATAACATTGGTGGGCGCACCGGAATGCGGGAGTGAACGCAGAACAAATCCAACACGGCAGCCTCGATGCCACTGCGAGCGAAGCGGGAGGCGGGATCGACGTTGGCGGGCTCCTCGTCCAAAGCGCGCAAGAGCGTCCGCACGAGCCGAGCAAACTCATCAGGGTTCTCTCCTGCATTGAATGGCACGGGTTAGCAGGTCGTTGCAACCGCACCGCCCTGAATGAACGATGTGATACCTCGCAGGGCTGAGAAGTGACCCGCGCTGGCTGCAACTTTGAAAGGCTGCAAAGGGTCATACGGCTCAGGGTCATTTCCTTTCACGGCCCGGCCTTGCAACTGTGTCGGAGTGAAACCCACACACTCGATCAACAGGGAACAACGCGAGGGTGACAAAGAGAAGAGCACGGGAGAGGCACCGAAGCAGCGAAAGCGCGCACGTAGCCCTCGACGTCGGCAAAATCCGAGAGGTAGCCGGCAGCGGGCTTCTTGGGCGGGAGGCCCACTTCGCCCACGCCAACGGTCACAGCGCTGCTGCCGTCTTGCTGCGGCACCTCCACCCACACCTCTATGAGCGCGTTCTCACGGCGCGAGGTGCTCGAGTGGCTCGTCCCGAACGGTGCGCGGAGCTCCAACCCATACTTAGAAACACGCAGACCGACTCTGGCCCGGGTGAAGGTTAGTGGCGTTACCCCTCAAAGAGAGAAAAACGCGACAGAGAGAATGAATAGAGAAAGGGGAGGAGACACCGCACCTCCATGTCTGCGAGGCGTTCAAGACCCAATCCAAGGTTGCGCTAAACGCTGGCCGAAGCGAACTCGTTCCCGCTTGCTCGTGCATGTTAGGCTCTGTGCGAGATAGAGAGAATGAAAAGAAATGCATTTTCTCGTACATTATTATTCGGTGTGTTGATTTGGCGTTTCCTTCAGGCGGAAAGATTACAGCCAAGAAGGCGACCATTTATTTTCTATCTATCTGAAATGATGTTGCGGTCCAGCGTTCGGGGTGGCAGAGCCGTGGCGAGTGGTGCCTGCGTAAAGGCCACCGAGGTGGTAACTACTCCCATCGGCTAATTGTGCTCCCACGATAGAATTATCCCCCCCCCCGGCCTAATCAGCTTACGGCGCTAATGTTCTATGTTGGGTCACTTTAGATGGGGTCCAGCCTCGTCTCCGCGCGTACTCTTGCCACTGCTGCGGCCCCGGCCGCCGCGGCGACGGCGCCGTCCACACAGCCTCGTTCCTCCGCCCTCTTCGACTACAGACGCCTGAAGAACAGGAAGGGCTGGGTACGCCCCCTAAGAATGTGAGCCCATTCCTCCGTCTCGGCAGTGATGTTAAGGATTGAATGTAAAACAGAAAAAAGTGGTGCCCGATGAGGACCTCGATTTTGTGGTGTTCCCTCGCGAGAGGCTGGGAAAGACCTACGAGCTCAACTGGACCATCTGCAAGTACGCCGTGATCCCTAACAAGGTACGCACGCGGTTTCAATTTACGATGAAACATGCGCTTTAATCTGAAACCTTCCTGCATTAATTAGGACGGCGAGGCCTTCCACAATCTCCATTCGCGAGGCCTCCAGATGCTGTCCAACGCCGCTGCCGGTATGCTTCCTATCCAGTTTCGCTGCCCATGCCACCTTTCGCGTCTCATCCTCGTCGCTCTGTGGGTCTACAATACAGACAAGAACAAGGCGCTGCACGTCACCGTGCCCGAGGAAGAGTACGCCTTCAGCCACTACTTCGTGCTGCCCTCGCCCCCGCCCGCTCCCGCCGAGGGCCAGGCTGCCCCCGTCGACCTCATGTTCGTCCCCGAGAATGCCAGCGTCGTCAACGACGGTGTGGCCAAGAACGTCTCCAAAGAGGTGCTCGCTCCTTCAGCTGTGCTGGTTATGCGGTGGGTGTGAAGAGCAAGAAGCTGACACGGTGCGTTTGCGCTGGTCAGGTGCGCCGCTTCCTCAGCGAGGGCAGGTACCTTTTCGTGCACGATGGTGCCGTCGGCTCGCACTCGGCCGCCGAGGAGAAGGTCCGATTCATCGTCTCCAGCGCCACCACTGCCCTCCTCCTCAAGTACGTTGCTCCGTTCATCCCCCTCCACTCTTCTCTTCGTTGCCACCACACGGCGAGACTGATTGTGTCCAAAACCTGGTTCTGCTGTAGGCACTTGATACCCAAGCAGCCCACCGTCAACATTCAGGACTTCGAGGAGAGCATCACTGTATTTGTCGCCCCTGAGCTCAAGGCCACTGCTGGTATTGCTCCCCTCCTCTTATGCCCAGCCCATTGCGAGAGCGTTTTGGCACAGTGTCTGGAACCTGACATTGCCTCGACGATCCATAGAGGCGCTTGGTGTGTCGAGTGACAGGTTCACCCTGGTCAACTTCAAGACGAACCAGGTCTTCGTGGCCGGCACCAACGCTCCTGAGGCCGTCCAGCAGGCCGTGTCTTCCCTGGCCACCTACTTGCTCGGCAAGAAGGTACTCGGGTGCCACGAAGGGCCACTCGGCCATGATACCAGACTCACCTTTCGGGAAATCTGCAGGGCGCGCTTCCGCTGCAGTGCGATTCGGCGCTCACCAAGGATGGCAAGTCGGTTCTTTTCTTCGGCCCCGGCCTTCTCCAACAGGTCAGCCTTTCGCGACCCTTGGCTCAAAGACGTAAGTCGCGCTTACCTGCCCTCCTTCGTGTCTTGTTGTGCAGAAGCCCCGCAACGATTTGTTCGGTGCTCACGGCCACTTCTGGACCAACGAGGGCGTCAGCCGCATGTATGACGGTGCTTCCGTCGCCAACCCTGACGCCTCCCTTGCGCTGAACAGAGGGTGCGCCATCCTTTTTGGCCTCTTGGCCCTTTTCTGTCTCCAGACACTTACTTCTCATATTCTTTATCGCAGAGACCTTGTGTTCCACGCCACCAAGGGCGGCAAGACGACGTAAGGCTCCCCCGCAAACCTTCCTCCCTTTTCGCTCTCTTTCCTAACCTGTTCTGTGAATGGACGATGGCAGGAAGACAAGCCTTAGCGTGCCGCTTAGCCTGCAGGGCCACCAGGCTCCTCATCCCTCTGCCATCGTCTTTGTCTCTCCGAACTCTGCGGCCGGTTTGACCAAGATCTCTGCCGAGGAGGCGGCCAAGCACTACCTCGCCTCGTTCCAGTACCCTGTCGCCGTCAAGCCCGAGCTGCTCAAGCAGAGATTCGCATACCTGCTCTCCAACAAGAACGTACGCTTGCTCGCGCATGCGCACTGAGGCACTCGGCCGATCACTGATCCCATCATCTCTTTCCTCGACACAGGTGACTGCCTACCAGGTTGGCGCCAAGAGCGGGAAGGTGAACGTGGACGAGATCAACGCCCAGCTGCACACCGCCCTCAAGCAATAAATACACCCACCGCCCACAACACCCAAATACCTGAAATTTCTCGTTCTTCCCTGGGGCTCTGGGGGCACGGAGGAGTACCCGCGATTTCCACGCCGTCCTTCTGTAGCCTGGGCGCAGCTGCGTGACACGCAGTATTTCAGAGCCAAGAGCCAACATCGCGCCATACATCCACAAAACCAAACACTTCACAGCGTCAGCGCACACGAACAGCAACAACATTTAACCATGCTGGCCACACAAACCCTGCCTTTGCGTAACGACAGCGATCGACTGGTCGACAGCAAGGTCTTAGACGCGACCAAAGGGCGGGACGACTACCACAGGGCTACAGGCGGTCGGCCGGTGCAGTCGGCCCTGGAGCCGCACGAGGACTCGTTCACGGTTTACCTCTCCAACCTCCCCGCTGGACCCTACCGTGGCGTCTCTCTGCTGGTCCAAGGGAAGCTCTTCTTCGAAAGCAGGCCAAGGCTCGAGGGAGAAGAAGTGGTGACGACCACCATCGAGCTGCCGCCGCTGATGCATGACGGCGTGGTGGAGCTCGAAGTGAAGATCCCAGCCAGGAACATCCACCGACGGATGCAGGTGAGGCTTGACCAGGGAAGCCACCTCCTGGTGCAATGGAATCCAGACACCGAGAACAAAGAGGTTGAAGGGGAACAGCTTCACGTAAGCCAGCAGCCCGTTCCCTTCGTAATGTAACAAACCAGAAAAAGAAAAAGAAAAAGAAAGCCAGGCTGTAGCGTAAATACAAAAAGAAAAAGATCATAAAATTCTTGCTCCGCACAAGATGGAAAGACCAGACAGCGAGAAGGCGTCGCCCGGCTTCTGGAAGCCGGGCGCGGTGGCGCCGGAGGGACTATGTGGCATTGGCACTGGCCAGTTCGACAGGGAGACGGAGAAAGAGGATCTCGTACGCATTCAATTGCCCAATTTGCCACGTGCACTGACTAATCTTCATTCAAAATCGCTAGTTTGTGGTGTTCAATGCGAACGAAAAGCTCAGCCTGAGCCAGCAGCGACAAAGGCTCCCCATCTTCAAGAACCGTACGTGCGCTTTGCAACGTGCTGCACTGTGCCTTGTCGACTGTAGCTTGCGGTCTCAGCCCATTGACGTCACCTACCTGCAGGCACGCACATTCTGTACCTGGTGGAGAAGTATCAGACTGTAGTCATCGTTGGCTCGACGGGATCGGGCAAGACCACTCAGATTCCCCAATACCTGCACGAAGCCGGCTGGACTCAGGTACCTTTGCGCCCCACCACGGCCGTGTTTTGCCCACGAGGGATGTGGGTAAGACGGCTCACAGTCGAACCGCATGTTGTGTGCTGCTGGCAGGGAGGGAGAGTGGTGGCCTGTACCCAGCCTAGGCGAGTGGCAGCGACAACAGTGGCGGAGAGAGTAGCACAGGAGATGGGATCGCTGCTTGGGGAAGAGGTACGAGTGCTCCGTGTAGTTAGTCTATCGAAAGTCAACTGACATGGAACTGGCCTGCACGCATTTGCGCCTGCACCCGCACCGCAACGTTCGAATGTTTAGGTCGGTTACGCCATTCGCTTTGACAACAAAACGGAAGCCGAAAAGACCAAGATCAAGTTCATGACCGACGGTTTGCTGCTGCGAGAGACCATGCTCGATCCGCTGCTCTCCAAGTATTCGGTCATCATGTACGTCACAAGACCTGCGTTCTCCGACATGTTCTGTCACATTTCTCACCAGCGCTTCTCCTAGGCTCGATGAAGCACACGAACGCAGCATTCATACCGATATCCTCATGGGGCTCCTCAAGAAGTACGTCTTCGGACATTGCACGCATAGTTCATGTATGGCGCAACTACGAATGGAGTGGGGTGCTCATTTGTTTATCGGCGACAGGATCCAACGGAAGCGGCCAGAGCTGCGACTAATTGTGTCTTCTGCCACGCTCGAGGCGCAGAAGTTGGCCGATTTCTTCAACACCAACAAAACTACCGATCCCGCCAACGACACTGCGGCCATCCTGTCGATTGAAGGTTCTCAACTAACCAGCCACGTGCCCTCGGCCTTCGATGCTCCAGCGTGCTGTTCTGACAACAACCACACCATTTTCTTCACGTGCAGGGCGACAGTTTCCCGTGGACATCTTCTACCTGAAGCAGCCAACGGACAACTACGTGCACGCAGCCATTGACACCGTAATCAACATCCACAAAACAGAGCCTCCAGGTACGAATGAACTAATTTCTTGCGTTGCAAATTCCAAGCTGCCTTGGCTCACACTTCTCGTCCCGATATTGCAGGCGATGTCCTGGTCTTTTTGACTGGCTCGGAAGAGGTCGATGACACCGTCGAGCTTATTCGACAGCGGGCAGCGGAGTACGTGCTGGGGGTTCTGCCTCGTGTGACGCAACGAATGATGACAGCCTGTTGACCGTCTTGCATGTGCACCGCCCATTTGCCTCATCCAGGATTCGACCAGGCGACCTCAAGCCGGGCAGCCCGCGCAGTCTCTCGGTTTTGCCCATCTATTCGGGCCTGCCTGGTGCACAGCAGATGAAGGTAGCACGACACTCGTCGTACGGTCATTCTCCCTTTGTTTCGGCAACTCACCCCTCCCGCTCCATCGCATCAGGTGTTCCAAACTATGCCCAAGCATGTGCGAAAGGTAATCGTGGCGACCAACATCGCCGAAACCTCGATCACAATCGATGGCGTTGTCTACGTTGTCGACTCAGGCTTCGTCAAGGTGCGTACATACTCCCAAATAATGCCCCGCGTCCTCACACCAGTGTGCGTGTACCTCGCTCGCGGCTCTAGATCAAAGCGTACAACCCGGCCACAGCAATGGAAGCGTTGGTGGTAGTCCCGGTCGCCCAGGCGGGAGCCGATCAGCGAGCAGGTCGCTCCGGACGGCAACGACCCGGCAAATGCTACCGTCTTTACACCGAGGTGCTCACTGGCGACCTCTCAGTTTCTCTTGCTTGTGTTCGACTGAATGGTATGTAACGTTGTGCGTGTGTCTACAGGCGGCCTATCGTGCCATGCGAGTCAACACCATCCCTGAAATGCAGAGGACGGACCTGGCCCCGGTGCTCTTGCAGCTCAAGGCGCTGGGCATTGATAACGTGCTTAGATTCGAGTTCCCCACTCCACCTCCTTCTCAGTGCATGATGCGGGCGCTCGAGGTACTTCGCCGATGCCTCTATTCGCTCATGTGCATCACAACCGCACACACACCACTCATTACGGACCCGATTTCCATCGTCTCCACTAGCTGCTGTATGCTCTGGGCGCATTGGATGAATACGGAAAGCTCACCCAGCCCATCGGCTACACCCTCGCCGAGCTGCCTGTCGGACCCACGCTGGGCAAAATGGTACCGGATGCTTCAGCACTTCGCCTGCTCGACTTGGCTCGATTCTCACGAGTGGAGTGCTTTTTGTTGTTATTTTCATGGGCAGCTGCTCAAATCCGGCGAGCTGGGCTGCTCGGAGGAGGTGCTCTCCATCGCTGCCATGCTCTCAGTCCAGATGGTCTTTGTGTATCCGCGAGACTTTCGCAACACTGTCGACGCCGTGCGGAAGCGCTTCGCCGTGTTCGAGGGTGACACTCTCACTTGGCTCAACGGTACGGCGAGCCCGCCTGTTCCTTGTTGCTCCTGCCGGCGGGATGGCGCTAACCAAACCTAACCTTGGCGTGCGTGCGTGCAGTGTTCAACGAGTTTATGCGCAACAACCAGACGCAGAAGTGGTGTAAGGAGCACTACGTCAACCACCGGGTCATGCTGCGCGCTGTGGAGATCAGAAACCAGCTCCGGGCCTACCTGCGACGCTACAAGGTAAACCACCCAGATCGCTCAGAAGCGCGGGTGATGGCAGGCAACTCATCCTCCGACTGCTACGTCATCGTCGATGCAGGTGCCGCTGGTATCGGCGCTGGGCAATCCGGACATTCCCGATGCCACGGTGCCCATACGGAAGGCCGTGGTGAGTGGTTTCTTCGCCAATGCGGCCTTCCTGCAGCCCGATGGCTCCTACAAGACGGCCAAGTCGCACCAGGTACGTACCGCCACGTGGCTACAGGACCCACCCACCACTCTGCTCACATCCCGCCGCTACCGCCGTTACGCCTGCTTGCTTCCTGTAGACTCTGCACATTCATCCGTCGTCGATGCTCTTCAACACCACACCGGCCTGGGTGGTGTACTCGGAGGTCGTTTCCACCACCAAGAACTTCATGCGCGACGTGACCGTCATCGAACCCACCGTACCTACTACCACTTCCTTGTTCTCTTTCACCACCACCGCTTCTCTGCCGTTGTGGCTCACACACACATCCCTTCTTGTGCGCAGTGGCTCGCCGAGCTCGCGTCCCACTTCTACGACTGGAAGGGCAAGCCCATGCCCAAGACGTGAAAGGACGCAATGCGTCAAGTTTCCCTCTTCTTCTTGCGATCGCATCATCGAAGACACAAACACAAGACATTCCCCTTCTCTTCCGTTATTATTGGTTCTTCTCGTTCTCGTGGGTCTCGTATCACCCCAACCAAGCATGCGTCGTGTCGGCCTGCTGCGAACGTCCCTTCTCGTCCACTCGAGCGCGGCCACCCTAGCACCAGCACCAGCGCCAACATCAACTCGTTGGCACCGACC